CTACCAATTTCAGTGCCTTGAAGGGCAGCCTTCTAGCTGTTTTCTCACTGGCGCACTTAGATTAACAACGTTGATCCACACTTGCAGGAACAATACAAATGATTGTATCAGGATCATCCTGGGCAAGTTGGATCTGAAATCATTATAGAATACTATGAAGGCTATCACAAATACAAAGAACCGAGAAGATACTTGGCCAATGATTTAAAAGAACCAAACAGCCACTCAAAAGAAGGACCCTGCTCCTTTCATTCACGTAAAGCAATCCAATCCCGCATTTTCTGAAGCTGCGACGGTCGAAAGAACTACTGTCGTTTGTGAGAATTAACTGAAAATGCGGTCCAACGATTAGCGGTGGAGCACGGTCGGTCGCAGTCGCGTAACAAAAAGGCAGCGTTTCTGTGTCCTTTTTCGAAACGAAGTTCCTGCTTAGTAAAGGATAGGTCTTCGTTGAGACAATTTCTCAGCAACTCTTATCGTTAACTTTCTAAGCCAAACCTTGGTGAAGGAAAAGAATACAAAGGCGCAGCGTAGTACCCCTCCCCAGCTATGTTTACACCAGAATATGCTACAAAGAACATTTTCGAATGATGGTACTAATAAAGCAATAAACACCTTTACTGAAGCAGCTGAAGCCGAGACCGACTGCTAGGTATCAACAAAAAAAAAGAAAATTTTTCGAACAAAGTATGTACTAGTATAGAAGTTCACACTAACTTGACATCCAAGTCGAGAATACTCGGTCAACCCTGGCGCATTATCGAGAAGGATCCAGCTCGTCTTGACTTTGTGGATTTATTCGATCAACACGATCGTAATGTTCCTTTTCAAGAATGACATGACATGTACTACAAGCAAGCATTCCTAAATCACATACTAACTTTTGAGCACTCAGTACCCACACTGCAGGTGAACACTGTTTTTTTAAAAAAAGAGAAAAAAAACGTGAAACGATTCAGATAAAATCTTGCAGTTGTGGTAACATTCTAAGGTCTCCGGAGATAACGTAGTCGAGGGGGAGAGCTGGGGACCATTTGATCGCGCCTCGGTATTCTCTCCCTCCAAAGCGTCTTAGGCTTAGAACGCAGGAGACTAACGTCGTTGAGGGAAGTTCCTCGGAGAAGACATAGTCTCCGCTAAGCCAAGCCTTTGGTTAGGGGAATGGCTATGAGGTGCTGGCGAGTGGTTCTCCTCCCGCCTTAACTACTTTAGCCCCAAACAAACTGTAAAAGCTAAATAAGTCGAGCATATGGGAAAGAAAGCAACCTCCACAAGCACCGAATCCTTCCAACGGTATGTTGTTTTTCAGTACAACATCAAGCAAATGTTCTTCTATCTGTAAGAAAAGTAAAGCAAAAACATTAAACGTTACTGCCGGCAAAATGAGTGTTATTCAGGGTGTGTGTGCTATAACGATTAACAATTAGTCAGCATTTCTGACTCGCCCTGATCAGCAAGTAAGAATTGCGAAACATTTCAAACAAGCGATCCCATCACATCCAGCCTACAACAAAAAAAAATCACAGCTTGGGAATTACACCCAAGTCAGCGCTTCAAACAAGCTCCTTGAGCGACTTTCTTTAGAAAAGTTCCTTCTAACACAACACAAAAAAAAAAAACCTCCGAAAGAGGGTAACCCAAGAGCCATTGGAAGGGAGAGGCTCTGCCCCAGGGATGTTACGTAAAAACACGAAGGGTAGCCGTGTAATTGCACACCACTGCCGACTACCGTAATCCCACGACTGTTTCATCCGCTCATAGGGCACAGTGAATGTACTCTACGCTGGCCAATACGAGTATCAGCAGAGTTTCTTTGACATTATCGTTTTCAAGGAAACTTTTGTGCTTCCTCTGCCTTTGTACTACTGTCGGCACGGCCCTCCCCGTTCAGCTGCAAAAACGCAATCCTTGGCCCTATTTACCCTTTTTTAGTTTTCCAAGTTGAGGTCGCATTTTCGATTCGTCTGAAAATTGTCTCCAGGGGTACGTCGACTTCCTGAACACGAAAGTCACATCGGTTTGGCCTGAGATATCCTGGTGTCTGCGCCATAGGCACCAGTGGCAAAATCCCCTAAGTTACCAAATTTGCTGCAAACTTCAGTCTCCAGAGGAAGTATGACTTCCTGACCATGAACATCACATTTGTTAGTTCTGGAACCACCTGAAGCTGTGTTCATACTTTGCGGCAGTGTCGACCAGCGACGCTGAACGACGCTGGCATTCACTAGCTCGTTATCTACACCTTCCTCGCCGTTGGTGCTCGCTCGAAACGGTGGTGGACGCTGCCGCAAAGTATGAACGCAGCTGACGCATGCGCCACCAGCGACGGCTACATATGCTTGTTTCGATTCCAGCGCATGTAGCGTCGACTCTAGCCGGCGTGCCGATCGGCGGGCTAGCGCAGTAAGGGAAACCCGACGAGAAAACACAGCACCCTTTCTGGGTGCATGTGTTAGTGATCCTCCTCATTACTGAAACAAAGGATCGCTATTCGTGGGAAGGACGCTCTGATACAACTTATAGCCCGCTTTGTTAGTTCACTCGAGGAACAACAGCACCCAAGCTGAAGAGCACAGAAGACATCAATACCTGTACAAGCTCACAGGTTGAGGGAGCGCCGTGGACGATGAGTCTGTTCTATAACACCGCTGATACAATAACAGATAGTACTGAGGAAATTTGAGTGCCTCCCTCAATTTAATACGAATTTATTGGACTAATGTAAAGCTCTCCATGATAACGTAAAGATACATATGCTCAAAATCTAAGAACCATTGATCCACGAGGACGCATACATATATTTCATCCGTAACATTGATTTGTACCTATTAAGACAACTAGAATACCTCACGTCAGCGAAACACTTGGTCAGGCAACCTGCGAGACATTTGATTGATGCGTAGCTGTAGAGTGCGAACAAAAAAGCTTCGCGGTTTTTATGTCAAATGATGGGGAGATCCGTGCCGACAGTAGTATAAGGGCAGGAGTAGTTTTGAAAGCGTTATGACAAAGAACCCCCGTTAAGACACATCACCATCACGGTGTACCAAAGTAGTGCTCCCGACGAATAAAAGCAGGCGTGGGATTACGGTAGTTGCCTATTGTACGCAATTACACGGCTACCCTTCGTGTTTTTACGGGTGCTGAGTATAATTGGACCTCTCCCAAGGTACGTAACGCAAAAAACAGTCCCTTACCTTTCCCGTCCCAACGAACGTATCATGTGCACATATGAACTTTACTTGTTTCGTAATAGCTTCCTGTGATGACGAGGAACCGGAGGACGAATAAATTGATCCGGTTGCTTTCCGGTTAGTAACAAATATTGGTCTCATGCATCGTAACAGTGAAGAAAAGGCTCGTCCACCTGACATCGCAGAAACCTCAAATAATTCATTATAAAGACACCGCGAACAGTTATAGATCTAGCTCAACCGACCTGATAAAAGACGCAAATAAAAACAAGAAAAGGCTGATAGTTCGTCGCTAAAGTAGGGAGGGGGACTCTGTCGCCTTTCTCCTAATCGAGGCATAAGCCTAGAGCGCAGTCGCCCACCAATTCCTAGGCCTCATCAGATGGCATTCAGCGCTGGAAGATGCGGTGGAACCAGTGTGAGCCAGGGGAATAACAGAAGAAAATTGAATGAATGGATGAATTGAACTGAACTGAATGAACGGCCGAAGTCTCATAGCGACCGCCCAACTATCAAACCCCAGTAGGTATTGCATTCATCAGATTCACAACCTACAGTAGGTCAAGATCAGTTCCGACATAAATTACAAAGTAATACCAATACGAAAAGACATCCGTAATTTTAATATCGGGATCGAGTTGAGAATTGCTTTAACACGTAAACTATTAGGAAATCTTGCCTAGCAAATAGTTTCAGTATTCCAAAGAAGATGTACTTTTGTTTTGGTTTAAAGGGCACAAAGGGCAATCACCACAGAGCGCATAATCAGACGGCTGGTTTATCAACATCTATCTGTGTGAGAACAATTAACTAAAACGACGTCTAATGAATACTGAAACCAATGTGTTATATGTAGCGAAACGATAATACAACCGTTTTACCACACAGGTGCGGGAGCTGCTGGGTTTGCAAGATTATAAGTTCAGGATGTTCTTATCTCCGGGGTGTAAGTCTTGTTTTTTAGTTTGTCCTCCTGGACACGTGTGAGGGAAAGGACCCGCACTAACAATACCCTCGTCATCCGGGCAGTTGATTAGGGCGGTCGTCAACGGGCCGCAGCGCGTGCCAGGAACTATTTGCTTTTTCCAGGCTAATTTAGTCATTTTTTCCAACTTTTCACTGTTTTGGCTACTTTTTCCCAGATTAGCAGCTCCTTAATAACATCGTGGAAAAAATGACT